AATAACAAGTAGGCTGGGACGATGAGTATTTTTAACTATGGAGTTACAGAAATGCTGACTCATCATCATCATCATCACCATCACCATCATCATCAACTCCTACTCAGGGAGCTGGATTTCTCTTGTCAGGGAAGTGCAGCTCCGGACCCAGTCACCGGCTAGGCCAGCAGCGGTCCCATGAGACAGCTCTGTCCCCATCCCAGCACCCCACATAGGCACCAGTGACCATGTTCATTGCCAAAGGGCAATGTACAGTAGGCTCCCAGAACGGACGGTGCAGGGAAGACATGAGCCAAGCAATCGGGAATATACTGGCACCTTTTCAGAGACTTCCCTCCCAGAGTTACTTGGAGTCGAGACATTCTACATTTTCATTCATTTGTGTCACTCATCTATTCAATAAATATTTATTGAGCACTTACTATATGCGAGGCATGTGGTATGAGCAAACATGAGTCACGGGTGTTTTCAAGGGCATATTGGTAAGTCTCCAACACCTACCCCGCTGCTCTTACTGGGAACAATCAATCAGAAGGACACGGGTGGGTGAAAGGGCTACTTTGTCCTTTAAAATACCAGGAGTCTTAAAGATACTGGACCGCATGAGTAAATAAACCAAGAATTAAGGAATCCCCCCAAGGCAATGGAGGGCAAACAAGACACTCTTTCTGTTTTCAGCCCAGACGTTAGAGTGCGAGAAGAACGTGAGGGGATTCTGTTAGCTTTAACTAAACACATCTGCTGCTTGGTTAGCTAGGAAGTCCCCCACTGTAAGGCTCGTGGGGGTGAATGAAGGATCCCCCAAATGTATAGATGAAGACACATGAAGAGATCCAATTAACAGTGAAATTCAGTGGGTACAAATCATTCCATCACCACATCCATTGAGCATCCATCTCACTACACTTATTCTGATCGATTGCAGTGAGCAGTGTGACTATTGTTTAGGTGACCCGCCCCTGGCCAGACTATTGTTTAGGCCCCTTGACCCCTGTAACTCCTGCACCACCAGCACCACCACACACACACACACACACACACACACACACAATACACGCTTCTGGAGAGGGAAGGGGAGCAGCAAGGCTGTGCAAAAAGTCTGGGCTCTGCAGTCAGAGGGTCTAAGTCAGACAGCCATCCCATCCCCACACTCACAGGCTCCATCATATGGACAAGTTACTTAACTTTTCTGAGTCTTAGTCAACTCATCCTTAACGTGTGCATCACAACACCTGTTAAAAGAGTTCTTCTGGATCATGAATACAGAGCACCTAACCTGGATTCTGATGTACACAGGTGATCGGTGAATATCGATTCCCACCATAGCACAACATTATAGGCTCCTAGAGCTTCAGCTTTGGACGACCTACCCTCTTTCTTCCTATCCTGTTTGGTTTGCTGTTTCCTCTCCACTGGCAGATGTTGAGCCTAGTTCTCACAATAAAGGGTGTATTTATTAAGTAATTGGCCAGTACTGGATACAGAGATGAACAGATGTCAACCCTACCTGCAAATCTTCATAATTTAAGAGGGAAACCAAACTTGGAGTACAAATAGAGTGATGCATAATTTAAGAAAAGTAGATAAAGTGTTGTAACTCAGAGAAACAACACTTGGTTTGTTTTCCATTTGGGGCAATCAGGGAAGACTTCTTGAAAGAGGTGCCACATAAAGTAGATTTTAAGCATGCGTAGGGATTAGCGTAAAGAAGGGTGAGGGCATTATCAGCAGCGCTACGGCAGGAAAGGAAAGCCAGGAAAGCCAAGGGTTTTTAGAAAGACCTCAGAATGGCATCATGTCTGGGATATGGGAGGGATAAAGAAAAGACAAAGCCAAAAGGCATGGTGGCAGCACGGCTGCCCAGGATCTTGAGGACCAAGCTAACATATCTGGATTTGACCTGCAGACAATGGGAAGGCTTTATAAGCAAGGAAACAATAATGCGCATTTGGCTGGAATGTTCCTACTGCTTTTCCCTATGAGTAGCCCGGGCGCCCCTCACTGGTGGCTCTGTGGTCCAATGTCTGCACTCCCTTCCAATGACCCTGTCTGAACAGAATGTTCATAAATTCCACTGCAAAGCCCATGCCACCCTTTCAGAGAGCTCTGAGTTCTCCCTTCCAGTGGGGAGTCCATTGAAGGAATTTATGCTGATGTCATAAATGACCAGCACAATCTGAACCCAGAGGCACAAGGCTTTTGCAGCCCGGGTTGTAATTTCTGCTACTTACCCATGTTTCTGTTAATAGCATCGTAATTGCTGGTCCGCCGTCAGCGGAGTGGCCATTCAGAATTTATCATTACAGGTGTACAGTGTTATAAAAAACAGTGAGAAAACTTGCAGGCATACCACCAGATAGGTTTCAAGAGGAGACATGAGATCATAAGCCCCTTTCAGAATTAGAGGGAGAAATATTATCCCAGCAGGGAAAGAAAAGGAAAAAAAAAAAAAAAAAACCCCACCTAAAACAGCTATCTCTTCATCAGGTTCTTAAAACACACTACAAACCAAACCAGAGTGAGTTCCATGGAAATCTACAGGCGATAGATGCCATTTATTGGAGACTATTCGTTTTAATGATCAGTCCCCTCATCTGAACAATTGAGTCTGATGTGAATGCCTTACCTTACCATTTCAAGTATTCATCCTAGACAGGGCGAAGGATGCCAGCAAAACGCAGGAGGAGGGGAGAGATGAAAGACATATACGCAGGGAGAAAAGCAAGTGAGGAGAAGGCAGCCAGAGAGTACAGATGAAAGGAGGAAGAGCCGAGTGGAGACCAAGTCCAGGCTGCTGGCAGTTCTGTCCTCTGCCTGGCGCAGAACACGCAGAGCACAGCCCCAGCAGCGACTGACTGAAGGACGAGGGCCAATCGAAGGCACAGAGAAGGCCGCTCTGCACTAAGAGCTGAAGATACAAAGGTGAATAAGGTCAGGCCGCAAAGTTTAGAGGGGGAGACGGATATGCCAACAAGCGATTGGCAATACAATGGGCGGAAATGCCACACGAAGGAAAGGGCGCTGATGAGAAAGCTTTGAGAGCCCCAGGGGAGAGAGAAAGAGCTTTCTGGAGAGGTGTGTCTTAGGTAAGTCCCTGGACCCTTCACGACCTCACCTCTACAAAGCGATTCGGTCGAGGTGCCTGTGCCTCAAGGTTGTTTGGACATTAAATGAACTCGTGGCTGAAGATTCTCCCAGCAGACGGAAGGGCCTGTGCCAAATTAGGAGATGGCTCACCCCCGACGCACACCCCCTGCCCACCCCCCACGTTCATGTGCGCCAAGCCCTGGCTAGTGCTTCCTTTGCGCGCGGAGTACAGGTCCTGGGGGGCTGAGCACTGCCCCCTCCCCGGCTTCTCCCTGACCCTCCACCATCCCAAGCTTTGGCGCAGCCCATCCACCGTGCGTCCAAGCGCCCACAAACACGCAACCTGGAAAACAAGAGGAAACACTCACCAGCGTCAGGCTGCCTGCAGCCTTGAGGTCCACAGAAGGCGGGGGCGTCCCTCCTGGCTCGCAGGGGCCCCGAGCTAGCCCGGTCACCTCTCCTTCGGGCATCCTCAGCCTTCTTGCCTCTCTCGCCCAAAGCCCTGCGCGCCCCCTTTCCTGCCCACCTCTCGTCTGTATCCCCGTCCCTCCCCATCGGGGCACGAGCGCTTCTCGTGCTGGAGAAGTCTTTTCTCAAATCTGCCGGAGGACGTGTGTGGGGACCAGTGGCGGCCGGGGCGACCCTCGGAAGGCCTCTCCCGGGTCCCAGCGCAGCCTCTCCCCCGCGCCCACCCCTCCCCTCTCCTCCCCTACAGCCCGTCTCCTCCCTCCCCAGTCCCTTCGCCCCTCGCCTTCGGATCCCGCAGTTCCCCACCTCGTCCCGTCCCCGTCCTTCAGGGGCTGGGCCCCATTTCTCAGGCTGGGCCCCAACCCGCGAACAGCACCCACCCCCATCCCCGGGCCGCGGTGCCCGGTCCGGCTCCAGCGCGCCCGCGCCGCCCGCTAACTTCCCGCGACTCCAGGCCCGGGACGCGCCGCCGCTCCGGACTCTGCTCAGCAGCCGGTGACGTCACCGCGCCTTGCGCCCCTGATTGGCTGCTTGTGGCTTGTGGCGGGAGACTCGGGCCGGTTCGCGCGGCGGGTTCCTTTGTCCGTCCAGGCGGAGCTGGGGACCCGGGCCCTGGGCTCTGCAGCGCTGGCCCGGCGGGCCCCAGGGCCACCGGCCGGGGGAGAGGCGGCGACTCGGGCCCTGGGGCTTGCTGTGGCGGGCAGGGAGCGGGGCCCGGGAAGCCCAGCGGGCCGGGCCGGACGCAGGAGGAACACCCCGAGCTGTGCGCCTGCTATCAGGCGGCAGCCCCAGCCCACCGCCCCCACCGCGTCTGTCGCACCGCTAGGGGCCTCAGCTAGAAAGGAACAGAGCTTCGGACTTGGCATCAGGCATTTCACTTCCAGTCTGTGTTCTTCTGCTCGTGCGACCTTGGTCGAGTCACTGCCTTCTGCTCCCGCGCGGCATCACAGGAAGGCTAACACCAGCGAGTGTATTGCACAGGTTTATTAAAAGGATGAAGAGTGGACGTATTTCCTAATTATTAAATCTGCTGTGATTTTAGTACATGCTATGGTGTCGCAGAAAGAATAATCCTGGCTGAGGAATGAACAATCGTTGCGTATCCTTCATGTGCTGGAGTGACCTTCCCCAAGTGACTTTTCACTTTTCTCTGGGCTCCATTGTCCTCATCTGTAAAATGGGAGAACTGGACTAGAGGATCTTTAAGGATCCTTTAAGGATCTCTGACATTATACGACAGATTGGTGACACTCAGCACCCTCCTTGCAACTTGCAATCCTCCCCCCCCCCCCCCAGGAAAAGCCCTCACTTCTTCCCTCAGAAAGGACCCCGGAGAAGCTGCTTTTCAGAGGCGCCTGTCCTCTCCCCGCCCCCAGCAGCCAAAGTGTCCCAAAGGGCAGCAGCGAGTAGGTAGGGCTCATCCTTGATGGAGACTCTCTCCCCAGGCTACTGGCAGGACCAGGATCTGGAGCTGGGGACTCTGGCCCCCCTCGGCGAGGCCATCAGCTCCACAGTCTGGAGCAGCCCTGACATGCTGGCCAGTCAAGGTGAGGATCCAGGCCCCTCGTCACTGTGTCCCTCGGTTCCCTCCACCATCCTCACATCATCTCCTGCTCATGGTGCCGCTGCCCTGTCCCCACTCCCCTCATTACCACACAGCTCCTTCTCCGCTCCATCTGACATTTTAGTTCTTAGTTCCACCCCACCGGCTCCTCCCGGACTTACGCCTCTTCCCTCGCTCCAGTAGAGACCTCTGCATCCCTACACCTTCTTCCAAAAATAAAATGATGCCAGGAGGAGTGTATTACTCAGAATGAAGAGGTTCTGGAAGACACAATTGAGGCAGAATTCTTCAAAGGGACCCAGGGAGGGCAGGATTACTCGTCAAAACTTGGTATACGGCTGGCAATAAATGAAAGGTTTCCCAGCCCTTTCGTTCAGACATTTCAGGGATAAATCATGTCCCAGTTTACTCCGCCAGCTCCGTCTCTGGCTCACTAATCTTAAAATCACAGTTTTAAGATTCAAGTTAGATGGTTACTTGAGGAGCATTCCAATGAAAAGGCCACTTGCACCGAGGGTCAAACAGAGTTCCAGGCCCAACTGGAATCACTGACACTAGAATGATCTTAGGCAATCACCCCACCTCCATTGCCTCATTGTCCACATCTGTAAAAAATGAGGGAATCGGATTCCGTGATCCCGTAAGATCCCCCTCAGTTCTGTTATGATTCCAGACAGTAAAACCAGCGGCCAGACTTTGTGCTCCAGTGTGGAGACAGGCCCCCCACCCCCACCCCCCGCCGCAGCCACAGAGCAGGGGTTTCTGTTATCAGCCCCAGCACGCGCCACCTTCATTCCTCGGGGGCCCCTTCTCTGCTAGGAGTATTCATTATGCATTTCTCGGAAATGGAGCTCCAGTGGCCAAAGAAGAAAGGAATACCAGACAAGGCAGGGGTAAGGTCAGTGCCATAGGGATCATGAGGACTGTTTAAAATCACTCAGTGAGGGACCGTGGGAAGCAAGTTTCTCAGCTTCCTATTCAGAGAAGCCTGATGCTGGTTAAGTAGGTGAGCGCCACAGAAGAAATGATGCGAAGGCTTGGGAATCAGAGCCGGAAGGTGTTGTTTATTCTAGTTCTGGGAAGGTCGCTACCATGGGGTCACAGAAAGTCCTGGAGATGAGGGAATCCGCGCTGGGAGCAGAACCCATGTGGGGGGAGGAGGAAGCGAGTGTCACACAGTGAGGGGGGCCCAGCTAGGCCATCGAGAAGGCACATTTGGGAGTCAAATGGCTTATCCACCCGATACCTTATTCGTGCTTTTGTTGCTATTGTTGTTTAATTTGACTAGAGAGGGGGTGAGAGAGCATGTCCAACGCATGGAAGGGAAAATTTTAATCCTTTACTCTTTAAAATAACAGGAGGGCTGGGGGGTGACTTGGGTTTGTGTGTTGAGAGGCAGGCTGCCCCGATCCTGGAAGGATGTGAGCTGACGATAAAGGGAAGCCAACTGTGGGAGGAAGTCACAAAGTCTGTGCCAAAATGTTTCGGTTCTTCTGTTTCATTGAATCGTTTTTGTTACTTATCGCACAGTTTTCCCGGCTCCCTCTTATGTCAACGAATGGGGGGGACCCGAGGCTGGCCTGGCCTCTCCTCACTTTTAGTTTCGGGGCTGCTAGTGTCACGCGCCTCTCCCGCCCTCGCTCGCACATGCAGCTGGAGGCAGGGAAGGAGAGCTTGGAGTGGCAGGTGCGTGTGCGTGCTTTCAAAGTGCTGTGTGTAGATTTGGGCGCCTCTGTTCCCCTAAATGTCCGCGGCCCTGTCAGTGCACCCAGCAAACATTCAACAAGTGACTGTTTCTCTGTGGAGTCCAAGCAAGAGGAAATAAGGTCTGTCTCCCCTTCCCCACCACCTCTGTTCCTGCCCCCACGACGCCTTCAGAGAACACAGACACCTGGGCCTTGGGCGGTCTGGGTTAGATGAGGTGGTACTTTGGCCCAGAAGTGGGTGGAGGGGCAGGGCTTCCCCACAAAGCTAACCCTCTTGTGATCCTGCAGATAGCCAGCCCTGGACATCCGATGAGACAGTGGTGGCTGGTGGCACCGTGGTGCTCAAGTGCCAAGTGAAAGATCACGAGGACTCGTCCCTGCAGTGGTCTAACCCGGCCCAGCAGACTCTCTACTTTGGGGAGAAGAGAGGTAGCGTCCCAAGTTTCCTGTCTCTGGGGAGGCGGGTGGGGACTGTGGGCTGGGGCAGCGCCCACCAAGCAGGGGTCAGGTGCGCCTGGGGTCCAGAGGCTGAGCACCGGGAAGGTACCCTAGGCTCCTCACCTGGCTCCAGAAAAATCTCGGTGTTACAGCTCTGACCTGAGCCATGCACAGTCCTACAGTGTCCCCAAGTGGCTACACCCTAGGGGAGCCCTAAGATTTAGGGCTGGCACAGTCTGGCACAGTCTCCCCTGCCCTATACCCCACTAGACCCCTTCTCCCAAAGATGCCAGCCTGGTATTGGAAGATGAACGTGAATGAGCCAGTGAAAGCCCCGCCTCCCATTCTCCCACTCCAGCCCTTCGTGATAATCGGATCCAGCTGGTTAGATCCACTCCCCACGAGCTCAGCATCAGCATCAGCAACGTGGCTCTGGCAGACGAAGGCGAGTACACCTGCTCCATCTTCACCATGCCTGTGAGGACCGCCAAGTCCCTCGTCACCGTGCTCGGTGAGGCTCCCCACCCCAGGGGCTCCGCAGCACGCCTCCTTGCAAACACAGCTCCTAGGTGAGCCCCTGAGGCAGACAGGGGCCAGGCAGGTCTCCAAGCGCTTGGGAAAAGCCCAGTCTGTGCTTCCTTTGTGATGGAATGAAATGCAAAGAGCACTGGGTTCTAATCCTCTCTCCTCTACTTACTGTTTGCTCTGGAGGAAATCCCTTACCCTCTCTGAGCCTGAACCTCCTAACTTATGACAGAAAGATGCTCACATCTGTTCCACATACCTCCCAAGACCTCAGGAGGGAAACACGAGAAGTGCTTGCTGTGCGTGATGATAATGTCCGAGTACCCCAGCTGTTTACGTGCTCTTGTCTGGGTCCTACATTTCTGTCTCCTTCTTTCCCCCCTGAAGCGTTGCACCAATTCTTTAGCTACCCAGCTGTGCTGTGGGGTGTCAGTTCACGTACCAGATCTTCCCTACTGGTCCTTAGGGAGGAGGTCAGGGAGAAAGATGATTACTTTAGCCTTCTCTGCATTGTAAAGCAAAGCAGGACCCAGGTGTCCTGACCCCCAGAGAGGCCATCTCTGTAGGGAGAGCTGAGGTCACCTGAGGGAGCCTCTCCTTCCTATCTTGGCCATCCGCCCCTCCCCCCTGCATGGCAGGAATCCCACAGAAGCCCATAATCTCTGGCTACAAGTCGTCATTACGGGAAAAAGAAACAACCACCCTTAACTGTCAGTCTTCTGGAAGCAAACCTGCAGCCCAGCTCACCTGGAGGAAGGGAGACCAAGAACTCCACGGTAAGTTCCCCCTGCTTTGGGGTTCAGGAGGAGGGGGTGGGAGTGGAGGAGAGGCGTGCATGTCCACATGTCTGTGTATGTGCACATCAGCAAGGCGCAGAAGGAGAAGGACAGATATTCTGTGCACACTCGTGTGTGTGTGTGTGTGTGTGTGTGTGTGTTAGGGCTACGTTCTCCCTGTGTGTACATAACCATTTCACAACTCTCTAAGTGTGTCTAAGTTGAGACTCGCCATCTGTATGTCTGCCGTGGGGCCCACACTGTATCTGTGCGTTAGGGCTCACTTTGTGCTTGCGTGTGTGCACTCCAGGGGAACCAACCCGCGTGCAGGAAGATCCCAACGGTAAAACCTTCACCGTGAGCAGCTCAGTGACGTTCCAGGTTTCCCGGGACGATGACGGGGCCGACATCGTATGCTCTGTGAACCATGAATCTCTAAAGGGAGCTGACAGATCCACCTCTCAGCGCATCGAGGTTCTATGTATGTCGTGGGCTTGTGGGTGAAGCAGGACCAGGTATGAGTTGGGGGCGGGGAAAGGAAAGGGTTGTGGGCACAGGTAAGTGAGGGGATGAGAAGTGACAGCACCAGGCCAAGGGTCGGCAAGCTGTCCTGTAAAGGGCCCAACAGCAAACATGTTAGGTTCTGGGGGCCGCATGGTCTCAACTAATTAACTCTGCTGTTGCTGTAGGAAAATGTCCATAAATGGTATGTACACAAATTAGCGTGGGTGTGTTCCAGTAAAAGTTTATTTACAAAAAAACAAGTTGCTGGCAGGATTTGGCCCGAAGGGCAAGGTTACCCTGAGCTAGGCCAGGCTTATGCAGCCTGATGTAAACTGGGATGGTACCTGTAGCAAGTCAACAGTCAGAAAATGCAGGTTCTAATCTACCCCTCCACCCCCGCCACTTACGGGCCATGTGGGTTAGGGAAATAGCTTTTCCCCGTTGAGCTGACTCTTTCATTGTAATATGAGAAGATGAACATGGTGGTCGCGGAGGCTTCTTCTTAGACCAACATACTGTGACCTCCCAGATTTTCCCTGTGGTCCTCCCCGTCTGCCCCAGCTGTGCGAGTGTTCTTGGGATTCACGGTCACTATCCTGAACCTTTCCACAGATCCCCATCTCTCTGTGGAATCTGCCTTGAATACAGACAGGGGACGTCTGCCCTCGCTTGAGGAAATTTGGAACTTTTCTGAGTGGAGGAACTAAGATGAAAGGAAGTACTAAAGCAGAAGATAGAGAATTATACAAGAATGCATTTCTTGTCCTGGCTTGTCTAAAGGCTGGCCATTTTCCTAAAGTAATTGCAGTGCTGCATCTGGGACGGGCATTAGAGCTCCTCAAACCAATTGCTAGACCCATCGTGGAAACCCACTGCTGAACGTGAGGCAGGTTTGGGGTGGCATCACTTTCCACTGGGAAGACTGGCAAGCTGGACGCAGCCGGCCCGGATCCCAGCTGTGGTGCCACCAGCGACTAGCTGTGTGTCTTCCACCAAAGCGTGCCACCTCTCAGTGGCTTCTGCTTACTTCCCGGAATTAGCGTGAGGGTCAAGGGGGAAGTATAGAAAATAACTTTGTAAACGTCTATATTGCTTTCAGGTGCTTCTCTGCTCGTGAGTTACAAGTGGGGGCGCCCCTGGCCTTGGGGCCGTTCCCCCAGGCCTTGGTCCTTGTCCAGGGCTCCGGAGGGCCCTCCCCTGTCTGAACTCCATAGACTGCTCTGTTAGGTACCAGACCATCTGGCACTGACTCCCTCTAGACCCAACTGTGATCAGCAGTCAGTCAACAAATTCTATACCCCAGGCACTGTGCTAGATGTTTCTATGGTTGCAGGACCCTGGGACACTCATTGTCTCACCTGGCCTGATTCTCTGTCTCCTGTTTGATCTGACATTAACACGTCCATTCACTGGTTGTTAAGTTTGGCTCTGTCCTTGGGGGAAGCTCGGCCTCTTTATCTTTATCTGTCTTCTCAACCAGCATCTGGTTCTATTGTTCTCTGCAGCCATCTGGACCTAGCGTTTGAGCAGCCCTACGGTGCCCGTGGCAGATGCCATTTTTCCATCACAGAGCCCATCTATATTGTGTCAGTGCCTTCTTGCAGCCAAAATATGACCCTGATCTCTTGTTGTTGCAAAGCTCTTACTTCACTTTTGGACTGACCACTAAAAAAATGATGCTCTGTGTTCAAGAGTCGCTCCCAGTTTAAACTCCCTTGCAGAGCAGAGAGGACCGAGTGATTGTGAGCTCAATAAACGATCAAGCTCAAGTTCACTGATTCCATCAGAAATGTGTATTAAGTCCCGTTGATGTGCTGGGCACAAGGGCACCAGGGATCGCTCCTCAGCTCCAGGTTAGGATGTCCCTTAGGGCCCCACCAAGCACAGATCTTCAGAAATCCTACCTCTATGAGTTTGCAGCACGAATCTCACGTGTGTTCAGTAGCAACAGTGAACTGCTTGCAAGAGGCCAAGGGCAGAGGTCTCTGTCCCTGGTCCTCCAGGCCCCTGGGGCATCCGGGCGTAGAGGCTGTAATACACATACACAGCTGGATGACATTGGGTGAGCCGCCCTCTCCTGGACGTGGGGGCAGTTTTGCACTGACATCACTTCCTTCTCCACAGACACACCAACGGCGAAGATTAGGCCGGACCCTCCCCACCCCCGCGAGGGCCAAAAGCTGCTGCTTCACTGTGAGGGTCGTGGAAATCCCGTGTAAGAAGATCTGCTTGCTTCCTGCCCCTGACACACCTCCGTACCTCAGGCTGTGATCCGCCCGTAGGGTGTCCCCATCTCCCTCCTGCTCTTGACTCCCTGGCCCTGTCCAGCACCATCCATCCTCTGACCGTTTCTCCTACAAAGCAGCAGAAGGGGGCCCCTTCTGGCCACCCCCAAGGCCCCAAGGTCCCCATGGGCGCCAAGCCACAGCAAGACTCAAGTTAGGAAATCTCCCTCATCCTCAAATTGCACCCCAAGGGGTTGCCCCTCCCTCCAAGCAGCTCCTGTCTGTAGCCCCTGTAATTCCTTGAGCCTTCATCAAACTGTCCTTGACTTCCTGTGCCCAGTTATTGTTTTTGTCTCCCGTCAGCCCCCTGGCCTGCTCTCTCCCTAACACGTGTGATTTCTCTGCCTCCACAGCCCCCAGCAGTACCTGTGGGAGAAGGAGGGCAGTGTGCCCCCACTAAAGATGACCCAGGAGAGTGCCCTGATCTTCCCCTTCCTCAACAAGAGTGACAGCGGGACCTACGGCTGCACGGCCACCAGCAACATGGGAAGCTACAAGGCCTACTACACACTCAACGTGAATGGTGAGCCCCCCTCCGCCCACCCTGCACTGCCTCTCCATCTCCTGAGAGCACCCCTTGCTGTGCTTGGGGCCAAGTGAGGGGACAAGAGCCCCCCATGAAAGGGCCTGCGCCTTGGTCTCTGGGTCCACTCTGGAATGTGTCATATGGGAACATCAGTACAGTGGTAGGTTCCGGTCTGCCTCTGGTTAGCGCTGGTGGCCCACATGATGCCACCATTGTACCCCTGCACTCCCCCTCCCTGCACCCTTGCACCCACTCTGGCAGAGGCCTCTCCAGGGCAGGGGTGGGTGTTTCCCATTCCAGTGAGCTGTCTCAGGGCTGCTTCTCCTGTGACCAGTATGGGATGCATGCTGCAGTACCCCTTCCTGCAGACCTTGGACACAACAAAGTGGGTCCAGGCAGAACCCAGAGATGCTAGACGCCAAGACACAGGGCATTCCTCTGACATCTGTCATGCAGAGATACTGGTGATGCTTGTTCTCTGAAGTTCTCCCCGAAGGTGTGCCCACAGAACCCAGCTTCGGGAGAAGTGACAGGCTAGCACAGAGGTCCCTTTATTAGAGAGTTGGCAGAAGTCTCGAAGATCCCAATGGCAGTGGAGTCCCTCCAGAAAACCTTACAAACCTTTCCTCGGAAAAGGGAAAACCTATTGTTGGGAGAACAGCAGAGGCTTCCATATTGGAAATGCCATTAACTCAGGGAGGTGATGGCAGTTGAGACTCCTATAGATAAGAGACCTGAGATCTTGGGACCTCGATGTTTGTATAGATGGGGTGATTCTGACTCCAGGGGCAGACCTCAGCATGTGGGAGCTGCCTCAGCACGACAGACAGAGCTATTGTAGGATGCCAGCAGCAAGGAGGGTGCGCTGAGGTCCAGTGTCAGCCCCCGACCAACTCTGATGGCGCTGGCAGTGAGAGAAAGTTCTGGCGCCCCGCGGTTGGTCTCGGGCTGGTCCCACCCCCACCAGCGGGTCCTGTCTGACTGGTCTGCTTCAGTGCTGACGCCTGGTGGTAGGAGGGGGTCCTGCATCTTCCTCCAGGAGTATCCTAAGCAGTCCTGACGCTACCAGCCTGGAAGGAATGAAATGGAATTCTACCTAGAGACAGGGACCTGTAACTGATGGCCATGGGAAGCTATGTTTTTCTAAGGGATTTCCATTTCCATAGCCCCTGGAACAATTATCCAGGATTAGTATTTTTGTAATGTGGACTGTGTATCACCTACTGCTCGGGAGAAAGATGGGGGTAACCTCCCCCTGCTTCTTCCACCTCACACCTCACACCTACCCCATCATGTCATGCAGCCCCCAGGCCCTTCCTCTCCCTCCCTCCCTCCCAAGCAGAGCATAAAAAAACTAGAGCGTAAATGTTTTCTTTTCAAATTAGGCGTAGACAGGCAAGGAACCAAAAAGCTGGCCCAGTCAAGCCTGAGGAGACATAAGGTAGGAAAGACGAAATATGTAAGGAGTCAGTGAGGCATCGAGACTCAAGCTGAGTCTGCGGGAAAACAGCGGCTCTCCCATGGGCGGAGGAGTTATATCTACGGCTGATGCAATTTTGGACACATCCAGACGACGTCCTGGGCCTGGGCACTGTCTCCTCAGATATTTGGGACTCAAGCTAGGCTGGTGCTATCCTTGGCATGCCTGGCCCAGTCTGTGCTCTGAGGATCTGTCCCTTGTAGATGCTGCTGTGGAGGGTGGTGTCTCTAACCTGATGGTGGGGACATTGGCCACCATGGGGACCATCCAGGAATGAAGCCTTTGCTTTTCCCACAATCCTCTGGATGGTGGGATGTGAGGCTGGAGTCCCAGGCCTCCCGGTTGGAACACGCCGGAGGACTGGATGTAGCTGGAACCCTGATCTCTTCACCAAGAGGGAGCACTACTCTTTACACAGCATCAGCTTCTGTGAGGTGCTGTCTGAGTTCCCAGTTCTTGGCTTTGTCACTGCCCCTCATCTCTCTGGTCTCGGGGCAATGGGTGAACAGGTTGGGAAGCCCCCCGAGAGAAGCCATCTCTGGATCTCAAGTAGACAGGAGGGTAAGAGGGCTTGATGACATGGAAGGAATTCTCTGATACCTGCTGAAAGTCAAAGCAAGAGAGAGAACAAGAGATGAGTTTAGATGGTAAAGCTACCTGGCACCTCAGTGCCACAGATACAATTTAAAGGGTTGAATGTTAGCAGGTTTATCCACTTATTCATGAATACATGATTTTTTAATAATTACTACATTCCAGACACTGTGTAAGAAAGAAAGGAACAAAATAAGGCATATCTCCTCTGCTGTAGGATCCACTCCCTTCTCCTGAGGTTGGCCCATGCTCTGCGCTGTGTACAATACCCACGGCATGGCCACGGCCGGAGGCGCTGTAAGACAAGGGCCCCTCCCGGGTCTGACTGTGTGTGTCCCCTCCCCACAGACCCCAGCCCGGTGCCATCATCCTCCAGCACCTACCACGCCATCATTGGTGGGATCGTGGCTTTCATCGTCTTCCTGCTTCTCATCCTGCTGATCTTCCTGGGCCACTACCTGATCCGGCACAAAGGTCAGAGGCAGCGTGGAGCTTGAGGGAAGGCTGGGGAGGGAGGGGGGCCAGGACTTGGAGGCTCAGTGGCCTCTTGGAGTGTGAGAGGAAGGAAGAAGGCAGCCAGCCCTGCGAGGACTGAGCACCACCAACCCTTGGTGACCATCCAAGTGAAGTGGAGCCCTCCCCTTGGCCAGCTGCCGCCCCCATGCCACTCCGCCTCCAGGGTCCCTGCTTGAAGGCTGGGACCTGCCCGAACTGCCTCTCTGTCCCACCCTGTCCTGCCCTTTCTTCCCTCCTCATCTAGTCGTCCTCGGATCCCCTGGCCCCTTGTCCCCACACCATCTCTTCTCTCTTCCCCTTTATCCATGGCGGCCCACTCTCCTCCCAGGCTTTCCCCTCTGGAAGTGCTTTAGCCAGCAGCCCAGTGCCTGGGCTGACCCAGATCTCAGCTGCCTGCTCATGGGCTGACCTGCAGTTTCCCTGTCCCCATGTAGGGTGTGCATGCACACACACGTGTACTCACATGTGCACATATACCCATGCACACACACATACACATATGGATGCACATGCATATATATACGCTCACATGTACACACACACACACAGGTATATGCCTGTATTCACATGTCCACCCACACACATGCCCATACACACACGTACACATACACATCAAAGGGTGCACACATGTACATGCGTATGCTCACATGTACACACATACACACAGGTACATACATTCACATATACACAGAGATATATGTACATACACGCTTATGTGCACACATGCAGACACAAAGACACATGCACACACACATACACACAGGCACACAATACACATGCAGGTACACACATGCACAAAGGTACGCACATGCATGCTTATACACACACGCACACACGGGTATGCACATACATATACACAGGTACATACTCACACGCTTGTACACACAAGTGCCGACATGCATACACATGTGCACGCATACTCACACGTACACATGCAGGCAGGCAGGCACACACAAACACACGCACCTATACACATGTACACACACAAACTCACACGCACACACATGTGTACACACATACACATGCATGCACAAACACACACACTTTTTTGCCTGTATTATAAATGAGATTCTAATTAAGGGCAGCATTCATTAATTCAAGGGGGTGTGGTCAGGTGATGGATGTTGACAGCAAGATGCAAACTGAGTCAAGGGGGGTAGAAGGCTCTAGGCAGGAGAAATGTGGCAGGAGCCGGCGCGGTGGGCGGACGAGCGAGGCTGGGGCAGGGGGCTTCAGAGGTGTGGAAACTGCCTCTCCCCAGGAACCTACCTGACACACGAAGCCAAAGGCTCGGATGACGCCCCGGATGCAGACACGGCCATCATCAACGCAGAAGGCGGGCAGTCGGGCGGCGACGACAAGAAGGAGTATTTCATCTAGAGGCGCCCAGCCACCTCCTCTGCCCCCAGGGGCCCCATGGGGACTGCCAGGGCCACCGCCAACCTGGACTTGTACAGAGCGACCCCAGGGCCGCCCCTCCCGCTTGCTCCCCGGCCCCCCCACCCCCCTGTACAGAATGTCTGCTTTGGGTGCGGTTTTGTACTCGGTTTGGAATGGGGAGGGAGGAGGGCGGGGGGGAGGGAGGGTTGCCCTCAGCCCTTTCCGTGGCTTCTCTGCGTTTGGGTTATTATTATTTTTATAACAATCCCAAATCAAATCCGTCTCCAGGCTGGAGGGGCAGGGGCCCTGGGGTGAGGAGAGCTATACCCCCTGGAGTGTTAGGAGGAGGGCGAAGGCTGAGGGTAAGGACTGGGCGGGGTGTGCGCCGGAGGCCTCTCCGCCCTCCACCCTACCTGGCTTTCTCGGGGAATGGGGAGGTGGTGAGCAGAAGCCGTGGGGGGGGGGGCGCACACCTGGAGCTGGGGACAGGGAAGTGGGTGCCCCCCATCACCCCTCCTCCACCACCGCGGGAGAGGGGCGAGGGGGGTCCCGGGGAGGCGTGGCCTGCAGTGGCGGCCCCCAGGGACCCAGGGCCCCCACTCCGGCCCCTCCAGGAGGCGTGGGTCTGCAGAGGAAGAAAGGCAGAGATGGCGGTGGACCCCCTGCCCCATCCCCCAAAAGCGAATGAAGCCGGGCCCTGGGGGTGGGGGGGTGGGGAACGCAGGGCAAGGCTGCCCCCTCTCGCTCTGGCAGCCGTGGGCTGTTCCAGAGGCGCTGCTCCGGGCCCCTCGCTCGACCCGAGCCCCGAGCCCTGACTGTCGCTCGGCAACCGCTGCTCCATGGCATCGCTCGGCAACCACTCCGCCCCGTCTTGTGCCGCCTGCGCCCCCTTCCCGTTCCCTCAGCAGCCAGGCAGGCGTAACAACAAAAATACTAAAAGGAGCTTCTCTGCACTGAGCTGTTTCCTGCCCAAACGAAGGGAGCAATGTGAACTCTGCGAGCGTGTGCCTGTGGTGTCTGTGCTTGTGTTGTGTGTCTGTGCACGTGTGTGAGCGTGCGTTGTGTGTGTGTGTGTGTGTGTGTGTGTTTGTGCAAGAGAGACAGAGAGGGGCCCCCGGGCAGGTGGGCAGGGGGGAGGCTGCGATGCGCTGGAAGGAAGGGCTGTGTTCCCCGCCTGGGCTGTCGCTCCATCCCCGTGCATCCCAGGCCGCCCTGGTGCCCCTTGGTCATGGAGAAAACAGTCCCAGGATGTGTTTTGCTCAGCTGTCCATCTCGTCTCTCCTTCAGATACAGAGCATCCAAACCCTGCCTCGGTTTCCCTTCTCTGAGCCGTGGAGTCAGTGCCACAGCCTTTGCTATGCACCCCTCAGGCCTGTCCCCGGCACTGACCCTGGAATGAACACGGTCACTTCTCTTCCCCGTACGTAGTCTGTACCCTGCTCACCGAGGGCTGGGGGTGAAGCCTGTCTCCTTCCCATCTCCACCCTTGCATTTGATTTTCTGTCTTCCTCTGTTGCTGTGGAGATGAGGTTGCTCACCCTCCCTGTCCCGGTGGAGAGGGCGCCCTGCCTCAGAGCCAGGAGCCCCTTGGCACCACTCCCCCCTCCAGCACGTCCTCCCTGCTGCGTCTGTCCGCAGGCCTGCCCACACCCCTCTCAGTTCAGGTAATACCCTCGTGAATCTTCCAGCCGCTGGTCAGGGCCCTTGGGCACCGCAGGCACACCCCCACGCCTAAGCCAGGGCGCCCCCTCACCTCACAGCAGCAAGGCAGCCCAGGGCCCCAGCCTGTGGGCTCCCTGTCTCCCAGCACCCGCTTTTGGGAAAATGACCTTTCCTCTTGGAGCTGAACCACTCTGTCCATATTACACAGAAGCCATATTTGTACGGGGGGCGGGGGGGACGGGCCGTTGTGTTGTGTGTGTCTGTCTGTGGGGTGGGGGGAAGGGAGCAGGGAGGGGATCGTGTATCTTTATAATCTTTCTAACTCTCCTGTGCTAATCTCAGAGGGGCCACCCTCAATATATCTGGATTATCCGTGTCGTGCGGCTGCCTCCTTCTTGCTGCTCTTGCTCCCGTTGGGATGTGTGCGTGTGAGGGCTCCTGCTGGTGTCCCCTGCACCCGCACCTGCCATGCCATGCCGCTCTCCCAAGGGACATCTCTGATGGAGACAACAGAACTCTCCAAGGGAGAGAAGGGTGTTCACCCCCTTTGGCTGGGTACCTGCTTTCCAGAGTGTTTGGGGAGGGGCACTGGACCGCTCCCCCTGCCCTCTGCCAGGCGGTGCCAGAGAAGGTTAAAGTGGAGTCACAAGCGCTGTCAACCCGGCTGCAGGACAGAGCCCCCAGCCCCGCCAGAGCCCCCGTCTAACCCGCTCACACTGAACCTGAAACGAGCTGGCACCCTGGGAGGACAGGGGACCCTCTGTGTAAGGGACGCGCCCTGTGAGTCTTTGTGTCCCTCCTCTGGCCGCATGCACCCCAATATAGATGAGAAAGAGCTACCTGGTGGAACTGGAGTTAAAACACCCCGTGCTTTCTTGGAATGGAAGAGTGTCGTCTAACAGGCTCTCATCCTTCTGACTCCAATACTCCATGACTCACCCCTCCCCATATCCGGGCCAGCCCTTTCCCCACCCAAGAGACAGAGTCAAATGCAGGGTGGGGAATGACCCAGGAGAGACCCGGAGACGCAGCACAGGGAAAGGGGCTGCGGAGGAGCAGAGGCGTTGGCTCACAGGGGTGAATGCTTTCTCTCTGCGAGCCCCAGAGATGTCGAAGACCCCAGCCCTGCGAGGAGCTTCACGTTTGGTAGGATGCCAGGCCAGTGTAGCGGCTCCAGAGCCGTTTTGATCCCCAAGAGAAATACGAATAGAGATTACTCCATAGGCGACATTCCAAAACCTGCTGTCCCATTGTCCCCCAAAGGCTGCTCTCACTTGTCACACCGTGTGTGGTGCTTGGTATGGAAAATGCATTCACTGCGCCCATAGGTGGTTAGACAGACACCCAGTCCCTCCCTGAAGTAGCTTCATTATGCAGGCTGGGCAGGTAGCTGCCCCCCAGCCTTTCTCTTACTCCCACTGGGCCAGCCAGACACCTGCGTAACACCCCCAATGCAGATCTGTGTACACGGCGGGCAGTGCGCAGCCACACACACTGGCCCTCAGGCTGTGAGCACCCCCAGGATCCAACCCCGGGCCCCACTAACACGCCCCCCCCAACATGTCACCCTGGAGCTATGTTTCCTTTGGATCCAGTTCAAGGGGATGGAGAAGCAGTGAGAGTCATCCTCGGCCCTTTCCCTCCACTTTCCCAGAATGCCTCTTATCTCTGTCTTACACGTAACCCCTGGCCCCTCTTCCTTCCTTGTGCTTGAAGGATCCGTCCCTTCTGGAAAGCCCCCTGGCTCCTCTGCCTCCCTTTCCCCCTTTGGGAAAATACCCACTTTCTGGTTCCCACCTTTTCCCTTTCCCGAGTGCGGGTCATGCAGGTCCGCACTAAAGGAATCCAACCTCAAAACAGGAAGCCCTGGGTTGGTGCCCACCGTGGGCCCAAGGCCGAGGCAGGCAATGGGCGTGGGGCAAAGGCTTCCTGAATTCCCCGCTCCCCCCGCCGCCTGTCCCAGGGCCCTGCCCAGAACTGATGGCCTTCATTAGCCCCTGGTACTTATCTTGGAGCCGCAGTCAACGACAGGACGTCCCCGGCCCTTGCCTCTGCGTGCTCTGAGCCCGGCAGCACCATGGGGAACTGTCTGCGGCACCAGGTGAGTGTGGGGGCCAGGCCCGCAGCCCCCTGCCTCTCGGCACATGCCCTCTTTCTGTCTGCCCCTTGCTGGTCTTCATACGCCTTCCCTTCTCTCCTCGTCCCTTGTCTCTTACTCTTCCCTCTTCTCTCCTTCTCACTCTGGTCTCCTAGGCGCCCCCATCATTGTCCTCAGTGACCTCCCCCTTTCCAGCCAGGCCCCTGGTGCCCTCGCCCTGACGTTGTCCGGCCCCCTCCCCTGCCCCTCTCTCCCAGGCTCCGGGCTTCCCTGGGCCTTCCTCTCCTGCCGTCCCCCCTGCCTCGACTCCCCCTGCCCCTCTCCCGGCCTTCATTCCCCGAGGACTCCTCAGTGCGGCGAGCAGATGATCTGATTGTCCCCTTTGGGGATGTCCTCTAGGTGGCCGGTGAGGACTCTACGAAGGTCTCCCTTGGAGAAGATATTTGGGCTGAGTTCAATGAGTCCTACGAAATGAACTATAACTATAGCGATGTGGAGGCCGCTGCCCCCTGCCGCTCCTGCCACCTGCTCGATGACTCCTCGCTGCCCTTCTTCGTCGTCGCCAGTGTCCTGGGCATCCTTTTGGGGGGCGCTTTTCTCTTGGCGCTTCTCAGACCTCTCCTCTACTGCCGGGTCTTCCCCGGGCGGCCGGTCCTCATCCAGCTGGCCGTGGGCAGCACCCTCTTCAGTATTGTGGTGCCCATCCTGGCACCAGGGCTGAACGGTTTCCTGAGCACGGTCCTGTGCCACCTGGCCCAGTTGCTCTGGTACGGCTCAGCCTTTGCCCAGGCTCTGCTGATCGGGTGCCACGCCTGCCTGGGCCCCAAACTGGGTGAGGGCCACGTCTCCGGCATCGCCCTGTGGCTCCCTGTGGGACTCTGGGGAGCGGCTCTTCTCCTGGGGCTGCCTGTCACACTGGCCAGTGACACTTCCAGTGGACTCTGCTCCCTGACGTTCAACAAGAGCCCCAGGTTTCTTCCACTCTTGCACGTGGCCACCTGCTTTATGACCTTCACCTTGCTGCCACTGGGCCTGCTGGGAGCCAAGGCACTGACAAAAGCTTTGGGCAGGCGGCCAGGCCCCCGGGCTAGTGTCCTGTGGCTCTGGTTTGTTTTCTGGTGGCCTCACGGGGTGGCTCTGGGATTGGACTTTCTTGTGAGGTCCAAGTCCATGGCGCTGTCGACATGTCTGGCCCAGCAGGCTCTGGATCTGCTGCTGCACCTGGCGGAGGCCCTGGCCATACTGCACTGTGTGGCAATGCCCCTGCTCCTGGCCCTGTTCTACCACCAGACCACCCATGCGTGCCTGCCCTCCCTGCCTCTCTCAGTAAGGCAGCCTTCTCATCTGGACCCCCCAGGAGGCAAGTCCTAGCTCTCTTTGCACCTGTCAACCTGAATTAAAGTCTATGCTACTTTTGTGAAACTAGTGGTTTCTTGTTTTATCCAGGGATGGAGAGGAAAGGAAGGAGAATGGAGAGAGAGAGAGAGAGAGAGAGAGAGAGAGAGATTTCATGCCAGACTTTGCTGCCAGCATCTGTTTCTCTCATTGGCCTGGGGAGAAAGTGAATGGTGAACAGACATCCTCAGGGCACACAGATGTTCTCTCTAGGGGTGTGGGGTTACTGCCATCTCAAAGGGAAAGAGAAGAGACACCAGAGTGTGAGGGGACAGCTATACCTGAATAACTAGAAGAGATGGCTTAGCAGATGAGGAAGGAAGAGAAGCTGCTATGGAAAGCAAACGAAACAGGAATAGAAACCATAGGAACCAGAGAGAGAAGAACAGAGAAGAGTGAAGATGAGCTGAGAACGTGACTCCCCACTCTGTCTGGCGTGTCCAGCCTTCCTCTCTGCCTTCTATGTCCCTGACACCTGTTGGCTTGGCTTAGAGATCTGGGGGCGGGGCGGGGGAAGGAGGAGAGAAGCATCCTGGGGGACCTCACTTAGTCTGGGAACATATCAAGATAATTCCCACAGCCACTTCCTAGGAGTCATCCCTCTAAGGTTTATTTCTCAGCAGGACCCTAATCCTAATCCCCGTGTGTGTGTGTGTGTGAGTGTGTGTGTGCTCACATGTGTGTGTGCATCTATCTGTCTCCATCTGTTGAGACCCACATCCATGCTGGGTGCGGTGCATGCATGAAATACCAGTTGTCAGTGTGGGGTCTGCCTGTCCATCAGTGTCTACACCGGACACAACTGTGTGCCACCTCTGACCTCTGTCGGACCCTCCTTCCACTTCGCTCCACTCTCCGTCCTTGCTTTCAGGATGTGGAATCAGGATTTATGACTCACTCCTTGCCCAAATGAGTTCTCTTCCCTCCCCACCCCCCGGCTTCTGTGCTGAGTCTTCTCTGTGTGGGATGCGTAGAGGGAACGAAAAATCAAGAAGTCCAGAAGGTTGAGGCACTTCAAGGGAAGGGGCCTGATCTGACTCATCTGCTGCTTAGAAACTCCCAAATTTCCCTTTCTAACCCCAGGCTACTGAAATAAAACTTTCTTGCCCCACAAGTCTTTCCTTCCACCTCCCACACCAGACCCCCATGCCCTGGGAGCCTCTTTCCCAGATATGCCCCGACCCCCTGGCTGCATAATCCTGATCCTGGGGGCTTTGTTTCTCCAAGGTTGGGCATTGGTTGGAAGGACAATGGATAAGCCTCTCTTTGTAGGAGGAACAACTTCTGCCCCCAACAAAGTCACTCTCTACCCAAGATGTTGCACACAAACATGAGTTACTCCCTCCAACCCAAGTCAAAGCTGAGGAAACTTGAGAGGGTACCTTCCATCTGTCTGAATCTGGATGCCGCCTTTCTGTTCTCTAAAGATGCTTGCTAACCTGGCTTTCCCCCTACACCGTTTCTGCCGGACTCTCTGGGCTCCAAGATAAATAGGAGAGCGCAGGAGAGGAGCAGGTGGGAGCTAGAACATCCTAGGCAGGCAGCGGAGAAGCTCCGGAATTTTCCTGAGTGGGTGCGTGACAAAGCCTCAACATCCCCCCTCCCCACCTCCCGTCTCCTAGCAACCACCAGGGTAGCTGCTAATTGGTGCATCCTAAATTGAAAGGCGGGTCTTAGGGCTGATGGAGCCCCGGGAGCCGTTCTGAGACAGAAAGGAGAGAGGAGAAAAATGCAGAAAAACGAGAGAATTTACAAACCAAGATTATAATACGGCCTCCAACACCGTTCCTGAAGGCCTCACAGGGTTTCCTCTCACCCCCTTGGCAGCGGCTCCTCGGAACCTGGCAGCCCTGCCTTCTCTCCATCATTCATACCGGACACCACCCGGCCCCTCGCGGCGCCCTGGATGCCAGGCTGACCTAGTTGAGGGGCAGGGGAGGGTGTTTTCCTTTTTGAGCCTTCCAGGGTCAACCTGATGCACGTGAGGGCTGTATTTAAGCCCCTGGGGCCTGTGCACTCCAGCCCCAGCCCGGCCTCTAGACAGAAATCGCTCCTACTGGGTCGGGCTGGAGAGAAACCCAGGCGGCCCCCCCACCACATCTCTCACCAACCAAAGGCGGAGGCAGAAGCCGGTGGCTGATAAGAGGTCTGGGAGGTTGGAGCCGCCTCCGCACACTTATCTCCTGCCCGTCCCAACCCAGTCCTTCTGGGCGGCCCTTCCCGGCAGTGTCTACTGCACTGGGAAGCTCCTTCTGTGAGCCTGGTCCTGGCCTTGGCCATTTCTACAAGGCTTTCCTGAGGCACCGGCACCCCGGGCCATTTAACCCATTGCATGCCACCAACCTCCCCCAAAACGGTTCTGAATGTGGGATCTTTTCAGCAACCCCTCAGATCCTGTTTCCTTAGAACCCTTCAGAATTTAACTTGAGGGTTGGCGGGGACGTTAGCTGTGTATGGTTTATTGGGCCTCTCGGCTAAAGGAACAATCTTCTCAGAAAGATGAGAGCAGGGAGCAAGCTCTAGGAGCATGCCAGGCCCCGGGGAGGGTCCGTCCGCGCTGCCTCCGGAAGGAACACAGAGGGTCACAGTGATGCTCACCCTTCACTTACACTGGGCTCGCCCCTCCCCCCCCCCCAGAAGATGTAGGAAACAGATACCTGTCTTCACAGTCTTTTTCCCACCCCACTTCCAAACCCCACAGCCCCATCGTCACCTTCCCTCAGGGGCAGCCCGCAGAGGAATTCTGATGGAAAACTTCACCGGGATTTCAAACCCAGTTCCTCGCCAGCTCTAATTGCCAGGGATTTGCATGAAAACCATCGTATGCTATCTAATTATTCTGACAACAGCAGCGCCGTCTGGGCACATGGAGAAACTCAGCTTTAATTAACAATAATGCACCTTGCAGACGAATGTGGCTGTTCAGGTTAATTAACAAGTCCAAGTCCTTCCAACTTGAATCTGCACGTCTTCGGGGTGATTTGGGTGGGAGGGATGTAGGGCACGCAGGGGGCGGGGTGGCTGAGAAATGAGGTCAGCCAAAGAGGGGGGCGACATCTCCCTGCCCACCTGATGTGGGGAAGAGGGCATCTCCAGGACAGACAGCCCCTTGCAAAACCGGTTTAGGGAAATTGGGGGCACAGTTGGAGGGGATTTCAGCCTTCTTTGTGGAACGCTTAGACTCAGGAAACTTTCTAGACACATTTGTGTAGACCAGAGGAAGACGTCATCACAAGCCTTAAACGTGTCTAATTCTCCGCCCAGGGGTTTGGGAACTGGGTTTTGTAGCAGGAGAGTGTCCCAACACGGACACATCTTTCCACGTTTCTTTGTTTTTCTTGGTACCGTATTTTGGGGACACTTAATGTTGCCCACTACTCCCTAAGATTCAGGGATAATGCTCCAAGGTCCCCACCTTGTCCTCCTCAAGATTTATGGTTTGTACTTTTGTCCTGAGTCGTTTCCTGTATCCTGGCAGACTCCTACACTGTGTGCGGCTGCAAACTGCATCTTTCTGAAGGACCCTGGGCCGCCTTCTCTCCCTTGAAGTCGGGTATCACTAGTGCTCGGAGAAGGGGGAATCATAGGTCTCTTGGGAAACCCGATGAAAGTTACCAAATCTCTTTTTAGGGAAATAGAATACAATACCCACAATTTGGCATGGAGTCCTTGGAGTTTAACTCCGTGCTTTCACACAAGCAGTTCTTTTGTGAGGGACCATGGCTTCACCTCCCCCTTGCTCCCCAAGCTTGAGGCCCAGTGACCTAAAGAATGTTCTGTTCCTTGAATGGGCAAATCCGGTTTCTATTCTGAGCTTTGCACACGACGACATTTCTTCTGCTGGGCTGTTCGTCCCCGTGAACTTTACGTGACTGGTCCCTTCTCATCCTTGGGGTCTCAGTGCAAATGTCTCCTCTTCCCGGACTGACCTTTCCTGACGTGCAGTGAGATGTAGCCCCACCGCCACCCCCAGCACCCAGTCATTCTCCACCGGTTCGCTAGGATGCTCCCAACACGGTGTGTGTCATACACCGCAATTGTCCCTTTCCTTCATTTGTTTGCTGACCGCTTTACTGCCGATCTGCCCCCGCCCCCACCACAAAAAAGCACTTGTCAGGAGTGCAGGCGCTTTTTCTCTGTTGTGACTGGAACATAGAGCTCAGCTAAATATGTGAATTAATTAGAATCAAGTGTGGAGTCCCACCCTGGAGGGTTTACAAGCCCCTGTGAAAGAGGAACAAGGAAACAGCCGCCAGCGCCTCCCCCTCCTCTCCAGAAGCCCCTCCCCCGGGCCCACGGCCAGGTTTGGGGCTGAAGAGACTCCAGGCCTGTCGCACAAAATTTCTGGCCTGGGAGCCTGTTTTCTCTGTCAGCTTTGGGCCAGTGGCAGCCAGGGGACTCACCACAGTCCCTGAGCCTCAGGTTGGAGCGACGCTTGCTTTCCCTTGAGAAGGTGCAGCTTGGACAGAGGGGGCAAGCTGAGAGGACTGTCATCCTTCATACTTACCTGAGGAGAAGTGAGTCCCCAGAGACGCCCCCGAGTTCAAGGAGACAGTCTTCCACCAGCTCGGAATCAAATTTGGAGTCTGGCCACCTCCTCAGATTTGATCAGACTCGGGGGGTGGGGGGGGGCTCACTCTCCCTGGGCATCAGAGACGTTTTGGTCTCCTGACACTTGTTCCTTTATCGGTCCTTCTCCTTGGCTTCAGGTGCAGCCCCTCATCCCCTCTGAACTCTGGCTCCTTCTCTCACCTCTCTAGGAGAGAGGGAGAGAGAGAGACAGCGTGAGCAGGGGAGCGTCAGAGAGAGAGGGAGTCACAGACTGAAACAGGCTCCAGGCTCTGAGCTGGCAGTCAGCACAGAGCCCGACGCGGGGTTCGAGCCCAGGAACCGCGAGATCATGACCTAAGCGAAAGTCGGACGCTTAACCAACTAAGCCACCCAGGCGCCCCAGTCAGGTTAACTTTTTAAGGCACTTAGGAGTGTGTATCTCATTTCATTTAAATAATATATTATTGAGTGCCTAC